CACAACCGAGCAGCAGACAGTCCAGGGGAGGACCAAGATTTACCTGGTGCAAATATATGGAGTCTGTTTCAGACTCCAGATGTCCTTTGCCGAAACTCAGACTCTGGAGCAGGATCGCGAACGTTGGAAGCTCTGTTTGACGCGTCTGTCTCCATGACCCAAGAGGAGAAGTGGCCATGGAAGGTGAAGACGAAGGCGAAATACTCACGCTATAAATACCATTCACGTTCTTATATTGCAGGAGCTAGCCTGCTTGGTTCGGCTACTTAATGAATTTAGGTATGACCGGAAACTGCACATTATGTAATAAAGATGTTATACACCACAACGGATTTGTGCCTGCCAAGAACAGTCGTCAGCTTTGTCTCTTCACATATGTATTTCTATTATTTGTTATTGCTGACCTGAATACGGGTTCACCATGACTGGTAAATGTTGGATCGAATATTAACAAAATTGATATGCAGAGTAGAGAATCTTGTTCAAATAATCTAATTTTAATATTCTACAATCGCGCATGAATGACTTGTGTTCCATCGTTATAGATATAATTAAATATACAAACTGGTATAGCCGTTAACTGAAAAAATAGCTGGTTGCTCGATTCATGGATAGCAAGGAGACAAATGATGATCACATTAATTAAAAGGTTAGTCTTTAAGCACTTATTTGTATGCATCGAACTTAAATACGCATAGTTTACCTTGTGAAAGCACAGGTGGATAATGGAACTACCTCCATTCAAGAAAGACGTGTCTCACTTATCGGGTCATTTTCTAGAAAAGGTCTAAACGATGGAGCTGATACCGCTAGATAACTGATTCAATTTGAATCGGCATTCCACAGCTGTGTACAGAAATGAAGCTGTCGGTGCTCAAGTTGATTTTCATACTAAAAGGACCAGTCAGCGTTGGAACGGGGATATTACTAAGTAGATGTGAAGAATGATACATAGTGTACGCAGATGCTGCCATTTGTATGTACGCTGTGTGTGCAAGTAAAGCCTTGGGACCAGATTCCGCGTCCTGTTTCATAGCACCCGTCCCCCTCCCCCAGACGTTTGCACTATTCGCTCAAACAACTGACCGAAGAACCCGGGGACGGCCGAGATAACCTGGGTTTACGTGTCTCAACAGACTTAGGATATCATCTACCGAAACTCAAAGGCTTGCACAGGATCTGTAACGTTGGAAACACTCTCTGACGCATCTGACTCCCCCACTGGAAAGCATAGACGATCATCGAAAAAGACTTTAAATATTAACCAACATGATCAACATCGGAGGAGAAAATTCGTAAAGTCAAAACTGTGTACAATAATTTCGGGAAAATTCATCCGCCATTCGTTGGATTAAAACCATGTGGAAAAATATTGGGCAACGTACGCTGATTTAGACGATTCATGTGGCAGGCAAGCTGCATTTCCTGTTACATTTTAATCCATTTCTCTTACACATTTGAAACTTCTTTTTCCTCTGTTTCCACAAACGGTATATTTAGCTTAAAAAGAAAAAGAGATTTTAAGGACAGAGACCACATTACTCCTTCGAAGAAACTAAGCAACAGTGAAACAGCATTATAAACATTTCAGCAACCTGTAATAAGTTGAAATTTTAAAAACTGGTCACTTTCAATTTTAATTGACAAACTAACAGCGAGCAAATTTCTTAATTTGTAGTGTGAACTACAATTCTGAGGTGCACTTAAATCATCATCACTTTATGAATAAGTGGCCCACTAAACACAGACAGCAAGTCAAACCTTTATTCGCGTACGAACGAAGCGCGCTACCCTAGTCACTACAGTATTTCTTGGCCGATTGTCAAGTACAATGTGTAATTCCCACCAAAATAGTTGTTTATAGAACTTCCTACGACGGTTGCTCTACGTTTGTTCCTTCGAAGGTGGTGGAGTTTGTTTTTCTTACTGTCTGAATGTAGTGTCCTACTCCATCGAATGTTTTTATTTGTGTCTTTTCATAGTGTTTTATCGCCATGTTACGAACATCCATTTCAGTTACTGTTTTTCTTTACTATCGCCGCATTTTACAGAAGTTTGCTATAGCGATAGTGATAAACTGGCAAAACATGAGGTATACTGTGCTGCCAATAACTGCTTCAGAATAGCTTATTCACATTCTTTCCTTAAGAAAGTTATGTAGTTAAGCGTTCACTGGAGAATTCACCATAAGACCGAGTCCAAACTTGCGTCCTAGTCAATATGATCTTCCCTTTTAAGAATTATCAATCAGTTCGGTGGCAGTCAATTGCTTTGGAGGATGAATGTGATTTCGCGCATTACCTATGCATTTTATTTCTTTTTGCATGTAGTTTTCTGTTATGCATTGAGTGATTAAATCTTCCCTGTTTATGTTCACGTCCATAGCCTAAGAGAAAGATGTTCCTTCATTTCGGCCTTTGACTCATGAAAATAGTTATAGGCAGCCCACCTATGGTTGCTTGTTCTGTATCTTGAGGATGGATGGTTGAGTTGGACGTCGTCTTTGCAGTTAAATCTTAATGCCAGTTCTTCGTCGGCAGGTACTCTTTTTTCGACGTTTGTCGTTGGATGTAGATCTGTATAAATCTTGTGGGCAGTTGTCTCGTAAAACTCTGCACCAGGCTCGAGTTGTTGTCAGCGTCTTCTGGGATATCCGGGACAAGGACAGAGTACCCAGGCTAATGATGTTAGACTCAATATATTTTCTTTCGAAGTTTTTAGGTACTGACACAACATTTGGAACGTTTGACACATCTGTCCCCGCGACCTGAAGGAATAGCACTCTCTCATCGAAACTGATGCCTGAGAGTAAATCTGTTCAAATCTTTGATTTCTTTGTTGCGTCTCGTCCGCTTAGGAGAATTCGTTGGTTGCCATATTTAATTTAAGGGAAAATGATGCTATTTGCTAATCAGCCTCTCAAAACTTTTTTTATTGTCATTCAGGATCCGATTCCTGGTGGAAGCCATTTAGAAACGTATTGAGAGTGGCCATAAGACCTCAATTAATCAAATCTGGCACTGATAACTAGCATCGCTTCGCCGAAATGCCCTGTAACCAACCTCTTTTCCATAATTTCATTTTATGCTTT